GATGAGCCGGGGCGCGGGCAGCCTGCCCCCCGCCTGAATCGGGCCCTCGTCTGGCGTTGCTGGTGCACTTGAGCCCCCCAAGAGGAGGGGGATCCTTGCCAGGCGCGCCGCCTTCAGCTGCGGGGTCTCCTCATCTTCTGCCTGAACCAGGAAACACCTTCCGGCTGTGGGCTGCCTCTGCCCCCCCGCAAAGATTTAATTGCCGGGCCGCCTGCTCTGTCACTTGCTGTTCCTCTAAAGCGGGAGATGAGGCTTCTTTCCCTGATCAGCTGCTTCTGCCGTTTTAAGGGGCTTCTCCTCAGACGGAAGGGGTCTTCTGCTTTGTCTCAGGTCTAAAAGGTTTCAGCTGAATGCTCGCTCAGGGTCTTCTTGGATCGTTTTAACCCAACATCTTGCTTTCGGACCCAGTGGAGAACCGCCTTTGTGGAGCAGGAACCAGGGAGGGGAAAGCTCCAAGGGTATTTTGGGATACTGGCAGTTTTTGAAAGTTTAAAATTTAGATTTCTGAGAGCAGAAGAGCAGAAGGGGTACTTTGGGGGGCTGGACTGTGACCTTTCAGCAGCTGGCTTGCCTCCTAGCACATATGCAGCTGGGGAACTAGGCCCGCTTTTCATCATGTGTCATAAACAACTAATAAAGCCACTCGGATGTTCCCTTTAGGCATCTTTTACAGGAAAAAATGGCTTTTATTCATTTTATATGGGCTGCCTCATTGTTTTTATCCTTGTAACGCTTATGTTGATTCTGCTTCAGGTTATCGCCATGCGATTTTTTTCTTTTTTGTTCTATCACTTAGCTTTCTCTGCAGGGTTATTGCTCACAGATTACTTCTCTGTGAGCTGAAATACTCTTCTATAATTATTTCAGCTCCCATTGGGGGGTTCACTGGTTCAGCTTTGAGAGCACCCCCTTGCTGTCACTGTCTTCTGGATCTGAGGAAAGCATTCCTCTCCTTTGGCAGGCTTCTAACCGTACTTGGTAGTGATGCACTGCCTCGGTATTGTCCATGCGCTCTGTTCCCAGGTCCTCGATGGAACAAGCTCAGATCCTCTCTGGGATAGTGGAGAGCAAATGCAAAATAACTACATAATATTCAGTTTTGTGCGATTTGTAGAGGCACCTCCTATTTGAGGCAAGACCATTAAGAGACTTAAGAGACTTGCTGCATCCTTCATTCTAGCCACCTACATGTTCCTCTCTATCTGATTTTTCCTCTGGGCTCTCTTGCACAAGTGTCACGAGCTTTCTTCCATGAAGTTACTCCTAGTGATGCTCTGATCTTTGTCCCTAGTGTATGGAGGAATCTTTGGGTTTTTTTTTTTAATGACTAGCCAGGTTTGATGGTTGTCTTCAGATCCAGAAAAGAAAACTCCAACTTCTGGAAATGCTGCCTCCCAAAGGTGATAAACTGGTGGTAACCCCAAGATGTAAAGTATGTTAATCTGCCTTGGGATCCGTACAGAGGCTCCATCTATTTCTGTGTCCTGAAATTAGTGATGAAAAGAGGATCCAGCTGTGTCAGTTCTTTCCAAAAGTTTGATAACTGGGACACCTCCAGATTTTAAAATTGGAGGCACACTTCATTTTTTGCTCTTTTTTTTAAATTCATTTTTTATTCATTTTATGAGTAAACCTTTAATGTGAAAGCCCTCTTATCCCATGGAAGGTCCAGTTCAGAAGCTAGTGGTCAGCCTACACAACCTGTTCTCACCAAGCTTAATTGTGGTTATGCACTGTTTAGCATATTGGGGCAGATTCGTGTTTTAGATTGAACCTGGCATCTTGTCTTATCTTATATACGTTGTAACTAGATCTGCCAGGCCAAAGATAATAGTGTTATGAGATTCTGCTGTTCTTTTGTGGGTTTTGAAACTGGAACTAGAAATCTGAACTAGATTAGAAAGTTAGTACAGGTCCTAATGATCTATGTCAATAACAAAATTCCATACTGAGTATGATGGCTGAAGCCAAGTGAGGCACAGTAGAAGCCTATATTTAGCTGAAAGGCTTGTCCTACTTAATATCTATATTGTTTTATGGCCAATGACAGATGCCCTTCTATTAAGAGACAAAGTTGTGCCATGAGCACTCAATAAGATGCTGTGTTTCCATCCTGTCCCCTTATTTCAACATGTTGGTCTGCTTTCAGACCTTCAGGTGGACATGGCTCTGAATCTTGTTTTATGGTTTGCATTTCTTGGCCACGAGGGAAGGCCTGGTTAATGCAGTGAAGTAAATTACAAACCTTGAGGTTAGTTGCATTTTTTAAGCGTGCTGTTTTGCACCGAAGGGAAGAATTTGAACAAGTGCAAGAGCAACCTTGAGGACTGAACATCAGTGTAGGTCATTCCATGATGTATTCTGTGTGTACTAGGCTGTAAGAGCAATAGGCCAGGATTGCCAGGTTGTTACTGTTCTCTACATAGTTCATTTGCAGAGTTGTTCGCTGGCATGCGCTGCCATAGAGAAAAATTGGCGTGCGTATGTATGCATTGGACTTAGTTTGTGCAAAGACAAGTCAGGCCAGCTAAAACTCTGTTTTTGCAAGAAACATGAGTGAAGGATCACTGTGTAACAAACCATATTTCTTGGCTTTAATGGCTGTGTACAGGAACAGAAGCAAAAAAGGCGCTGGGGCCATTCTGATGGTGCTGTCTCAGTTCTCTTAAACACCCACATACCTTTTAAGGTGTCTTCTGTCAAAGCTATTCCGGACTCTGTTTTGTGCCATGCAAGTAGACAGCCTATCTAGGAAGAATAAGATTAGGTCCTGCTCTGTCTTACAAGGTTCACAGGAATGAACACGTTAGGGAGAATCTTACTGCTCTGCTATAAAAGTTTTCTCTCTTTTACACAAATATCCTTTTTGTATGAGGAATAAAATTGATATGTGTGCAAGTTTTTAAAGAATCTTCCTCCCTCAAATAAGGTGATGTTGTGTTTCCACATAACATTAATCCAGAATAGGGGGCTCGCATATCGTACTCCTGTAACTAACTATATTATGATTTATTGTTCTGTACAAACTAGGTTTATGTCTTCCATCTTTGTATCTTCCCTGCTTTATCGGAAAGTGATCCAAGCTGCAAGTATCAAACTACAGATCTGCTTGACAGTTCCTTTTACTAAGCTCTCCAACCTCCTTCTGTCTTGAAACTGGGAGTTCAGCGTTATTAGCCCCTGAAGTTCAAAATAGTGTCATGGAGTCATTTGTCCTGAATCATCTCTTGGAACTGGAAAACTGGGAGTAAAATCGGAGTATCCTTTTGTTTCTGATTTACAAGTCCTATTTTTGGACCTCAGGGAATGATGTTTCCTTGGTTCTGACTTTCAGCGTGAGAACCAGAAACATACACTAGTGCCCTGAGGGAAGGGGAAGGATAGCCACCTCATCTGCTTTGTATTCTTTTGCTCCAGTTAAACATTTGCCATGTATTTTGGGGTAGCAAAATAGGCTTAGCCTTGCATTTTTGGAGTTGGCGGGGGAAGTGGCCAGAAGTGGCCTCTTTACTGCTTGGTAAAGGATATTTCTGCTTGGCTGAGTCACTGGAACCTGACTGTAATTCTAGGGTTCTAGTCCTGGCTTGTTTGTGTAACTGAAATACATTTCCATCCTTTGGGCAAACTCTATCAAAGTTTTATTTGGGGTATGCACGAGATTTCAAAATGAAGCAGTGTCATCTTTTCCCAAAGTTAAACTGATTTGGAGTTATGGAATCATGCTCTCCTTCAGATTATACAACTCATCTCCAGTTTTGGCTTTTTATCTTTTTGGTGCTGTTGGTCCACTCTTCCATCTTCTGTGCTGCTGCTTCCTACCTGTGTGGCAAAGGGCCTCTTTTCAGTGCGCATGTGACTCCGGATGGCATTCGGTGTGTTGTGTTCTTCTTTTGAAGGTGTAATTAGGGCCAGCTGCCCTGCTGCTCTTCCAGACTACTTCTGGTTGTTTTCTTTGGGGAGTATGCTTGCTTCAGTTTACTCTAATTATAGTGTCCAGAGAATAGAAGGACCCAGACAGCCGTTTCCTCAGTCTATTCTTTCCCTTTCATTAAAAAAAAAATACAGATGCTCTCTCTTTGTAGAACTGCTTTAATAGAAACCTAGTTTTGGAAGCCACTTTGCTTCTTCCTCTATCAAAATTGGATATCTGAACAGTGGCAGTGTCCAGAGGCAATGATTGAAGCTGGGCTAGGCTTATGAATGTTTTCTTTTTAAGTGATTCTTTTTCTCTGGTAGGGGTTGCTTTGTTCATCAATACTTGCCTTGTCTTGAATTTCTTTATTTACACCTTAAGTCACATTCTGAAATTTGAGGGATTTTTTCTTTGCTTGCTTGCTTGTTTGATTGATTGGCAGTTAATTGGATTCATCCATCTCAGCTGGCTTCTGGCTCCTTTGGGGGTCTTGGAGAAGTCACTTAGAGCCTTTTATGATATTGCTTCTTGGGGTTACATTATTTGCATAACACCAGCACTGAATATCTCAAAATGCCATTTGCCAGAGGTGATTGTCCTCCTGCTCTTTCTTTTGAGGCTCATCCAAACACTGTCTCTCTGATCCTAAACTAGCTTTTCCTTTATCCCTTTTGTTTTGCTATCTTTAATAGGAAGAATTTCAGTGTCATTGTTCAGTGTAAATAATGCTCAAGATAGCTTACACAATAGGTAAGGAGACATGACTGGTAAGTTTCTGGGCTTGGGTGCTCCCTTGTTAGTGCACTGTGAAGTACAAGTAGTTGGAAACTGTTTAAAGCAGCAGGTGTTTTATCTTCTTTTCAAGCATGTGTTACACGTTCCCAGCTTAGGGATTTGATAGATAATAGAGAAATGGGGAGGGACTCCCAGAGCCTCATACTTATTTCTTTCTTTTGTACAGGGAGGTCTGAAACAATCCGTCAAAGAAGAGGAATCCCAAAGAACTTACAGAGAACCAGGAGTTCCTGACATACTTCTGTGCCACCCTGATTCCCTGCTAGTGTGAAAGTTGGTGTTGTAGTGGTGCCTACCTGCTAACCCCCATACTTGAAAACATGTGAGGGGTTCCCCTGTCCTGTACTTTTCTTGGCCCCTTTGTGGGTGAGTTGCTGCTAAGGCCAAGGTGCTGGCCATCATGATGTTCCGGGACCAGGTGGGCATCCTTGCTGGCTGGTTCAAAGGCTGGAACGAGTGTGAGCAGACAGTAGCCCTGCTGTCCCTCCTCAAGCGTATCTCTCGCACCCAAGCCCGCTTTCTGCAGCTATGCCTGGAGCACTCGCTGGCAGACTGCACAGAGGTCCATGTTCTGGAGTCTGAAGCTAACAGCGCAGGTAAGCCAGTGATTCTTTTGTCGGAGCTTGAGCTCGGTCTCCGCATCACCTGGGGATTCAGATGCAGACAGCTTGCCCATTTGGTGGTGATCCTTCTGTTGCCCCACTTGCCAGGGGGGCTGCGTCAAGACTCCTAGCAGGCTGCAAGAGGAGTCTCAGCCCAGAGTGAGCCCAGTTGCTTTGGCAGTGCCAGGGAAGATTCTTTTCCTCCTCCCCCAAGCTCAAGAGGATGGAGGGTGTGGGCAGAATGGCTTTCTGTCGCTAGGCTGCCAAGGCACTTCAAACTCCTGTGTTAAGTCAGTTATACTGTTTCTGAGCATACATCATAAAAGATACGGTCACCTCTGAAAGGCTGATACAGTTATTGCAGCAGTGGCAGCTCTCTGACCTTGTTGCAGCAGGCTAACCACCTACCTCCTTCATCTCACGCATCTTGATGGGAAGGACCCCGCTTCAGGATAGGGGGGCTTTCCTTGGAGACCCTGGAAGTGGTTAATGGCTCTCTGGCACACGAGGCACCTATCAGATTTGTATCCCTCTCCTTCTCTCCAACAGCCATCATCAGTCAGTGGCACCAAGAGCCAAAAGACAAAGTCGTCTCCTTGCTCCTGTCCCATCTGCCCCTTCTCCAGCCTGGCAACACAGATGCCAAGTCAGAATACATGAAGCTTTTGCAAAAGGTGCTGGCTTACTCTATTGAGAGCAACCTCTTCATAGAAGAAAGCAGGCAGCTCCTGTCCTATGCCCTCATTCATCCAGCCACCACGCTGGACGACCGCAGTTCCCTGGCACTTTGGCTCAACCATCTTGAGGAGCGCCTTTCCAGCGGCTATCCCAGCCAAGGCAGGGGACGACCAGACACAGCCTACCACTCACGCCAAGGCTCAGATGACTGGCAAGGTCCGGTGGAGACGGGCCTTGGAGATCTGGGACACAGCTGGCAGGAGAAGACACCACGGGAAAATGGGCACATGTCCTTCCATCCTTCTGGCTCAGTGTCCTCGGCAATCAATAGTATTGGGAGCAACACGAGCAACACAGGTTCGGAAAGGCATTGCTGTGAAGCAGGGTGGTAAATGTGGGTTTTGCTATCCAGCCTGGTGAGTCTGGGCTATTTCTGAGGAGTTGGAAAAGGTTTCCACGTATCCAGGTCAAAGTAGCTTTGCCTGTGAGCTGGGAAACCTTCATGCTGGGGGACACTTCTGGGCCATTGCCCTCACGCTTTACTGCATGCAGCTTTTGTTGCTGGACTTTCTGAATGCCCAAGCAATGAGTAGGGATAGTTCTGCTGGGTAAGCTCTTCCTATGTTCTACCCAAATGAATGCTAGTTGGTTTCGTGTTTCCGAGTGGGGAGAGGGCAGTTCACCCCATCAGAAACTAATGCACTTCCTCCTATTGGAAGCCCCTAAGCATTTAACTCCTTCCCAAAATAAGCAGCTTTTTCCTTCTGATAATTTCGTGACCAGCGCCTGAAACCGTTGCTGGTGCATCCTAATTCTTTCTTCCTGGTTGCAGCTCTTCCTTGCCAAATCCACCCCAGCCCGCTGAAGCGCTCCATGTCGCTCATCCCCACGGGCCAGCAGGTCTCCAGCGAGTGGATGAACGTGGATGAGATGGGTGCCAGGCCAGCCTTCATCTCCAGTGGGGAGCACGCGCCCCTCTCTCCCCAGAGCAGCGTGGCTTCCTCAGGCAGCGAGCAGACGGAGGAACAGCCCGGCAGTCGTAACACCTTTCAGGAGGACGGCAGCGGCATGAAAGGTATGACAGGTTCTGGACAAGGTGACTGAGCAGCTTCCCCAGATTTGAAGGTAGTTGGGGCTAAGAAGGCACATGACCCGGTTCTGCCTCGCTTGCCTAATTCCAGTCCTGGGATTTGAGGAGTCAACAGACCCCTAAGTGTCTCTCAGACTTCTTAAAGGTGCATCTTAGTTGGGAAATCCCTTAGTTGGGGGGAAAAATATTTTGTACTGGGTTTGTGATGGTGGATATATTACAGAGAAAAGCCCAGCCTGTCTGTGAAGCTATGCTGCCTTGACTGTTTCTTAGTCAGTTACTTAGAAGGCATTCAAAATATGTTTGAAAGAGAATATGACACTGATTGCCTTGATTCTGTTGTCCTGGATGTTGCATCTGATGCATCGGGATTGTGAAGACAGGCGGGGTCTCTTATAGCTCGTAAGTTTGGAAACTTGAGTAGATCTTGTGTAGGGCTTGCGATTGTACCACTGTCTCTCAAAGCAGCACTAGAAATGCTCCATAATATTTCTTACTTCACCCCAAAAGGGCCTCTCCTTGTGCCTGTGTTTGAGGGCTTTTCTTTGAGACCCGCAGGGTGCTTAATTGGCGGTCTTCTCTGGGAAACAGGGCTTTGGGGCAGGTGGCTTGACTTCTCGATCCTTTTCCCACAGATGTTCCCTCATGGCTGAAGAGCCTCCGTCTCCACAAATATGCAGCCCTTTTCTCCCAAATGACTTACGAAGAGATGATGACTCTCACGGAGCAGCATCTGGAATCGCAGGTACTAAAATCCCCACGCCGGGAGGAGGAGGGAGAGCAGGGAAAAGGGGCTCCCTTGCCTTGCCTTGCCTTGCCTTGCCTTCTATGCATAATAGGGGCCTATTCCTGCCTACTTTAAAAGGCTGGTGTTTGGGTGGTGCCTGGGAGGGCCGTGATGATCACGTTTTCCATTTCTGTGACTTTGTCGCAACAAGATGCCTAAAATGCAGTGCCAGGCATTGTTGAGGGGGCCACTCTGAAGATGTAAATATATCCCTCCTGTAAAGGCTGGAGGGCAGAGGCAGTTCTGGTTCCCTTTTTTAGCTCTCTTTTTCTTCCCCAATCCTTCCCTGAACAGAACGTGACCAAAGGAGCAAGGCACAAAATTGCCTTAAGTATCCAAAAGCTGCGGGAAAGGCAGAGCGTCCTGAAGTCCTTGGAGAAGGTAAGGGGCCTGTTGAACAGAGCTGCGATTCCATGGGTCGTTTGAATTGCCTGGAGCAGTTTTCCTCTTTTTTTACATAAGCATGATTACGTATTTTTATAAAGGAAGATAAAAACTAATACAAACTAATATAAAGAAAGGAAAAGAAAGAAATCAAAGAGAAAGCTAAAAGTAAAAGAAAGGGGAAAAAAGTAAAAGAAAAGAAAAGAAAAGAAAGAAAAAAGATACAAAGAAATAGCTTCCAATCTTCTTTACAGAGGTTGTTAGTACATTTATAAATTTACCTCTTACTCTGTGGCTGCAACATAACTCTCTTCTTTCTATAATCTCTCTTGTCCAATTATTAAAACCATAAATCGTTTTT